GGGGGGCATTCTGCGCCCCGCCCCCACCTGCTACACCCTCTGGAAGAAGACATACGTCCCCAAAATTGGGCACATTTCACGCTCGTTGCATACTTGGGTAATGACCGGGCTGCCCCGGGCAACTGATAACGGTTTTATCCCCCCCCCCTCCCTCTGCGCCTGCGCACCTCTGACAGCCGCGAGGACAGACCTCTTTTTCATAAACTTGTGAAGTGATGTCATTTCTAAGGAATCGGGCAAATAAATGTCAATAAATGTCAATAAATGGCGCATTAAAAGAAGAACGAATTCGGCCAATTCGGACTGATATCTAACAACCTGCGGCAACTTTCTCCTGTTTTTCTGTAGTTTTTCCGTGCTGTGTAACTGGCGATTCTTTTCCACCGCCTCCTGGTTGATGCGTATTCACATTCTTGCACGTGATCTTTATTGCAATAACGTGGAAACACCGGACCATAAGAGGCCCATATGCCAACAGGAGCCCGGCTCTCTTCACATCCTAAGCCACCGGATGGCCCAGGTTTCTCGTCTTACACTCATTCACTGATGTGGTTTCTTTGATATTCAATCATGTCAGACTTTTCAAAAGGCCGGTTTTGTCGTTGGTTTATCGGAAATACTTTGGGGGAAGCTATCTTTCTCTGGGCTTATGCTTCTATGTTCCGCCTGCCGCTGCCCGTGTGTCGGTCTGTTATTTGGCGGTTTGTGATACGGGACGGAATGATTGCGGGCTGGGACGGCTGGCCGGAAGGGCTTGTGTGTTATGACACTTGTAACTTACGTATATCCTATTGTAGCCATGTCGGATATCTTCAAACACTGTGAGTTATACCCAGGCCTTTTGTGCCGTGTCCATATCGTGTTTGGGACCAATTGAAGGGATGTTCGGCATTACCAAACGGATAAGTGGGTGCTTCAGACGGATATGTCGTCTGCTTACCTCAGATGAAACATATAGCCTAATAACACGACTTTCATCATAGTTTCCTGTCAGTTGATAGTGTTTCGCACTCCGCCTGTTTTAAGATACGGTATCGGTAAAAATGCACCCTACAGGAAACATCTGCACGCCAAGAACAACCTTAGAGCTGTCCAGTTTAGCAAAGTTACAGTTTCCACGACATACGCCATACCCCAAGGCGCCCCTTTGATTTGCCTACTCAGTTGGAAAAGAGCTGAAGTGACAGGTATAATTTGGAGCTTACTTCCTTACAGCTGAGGCTCACCTGCTATGAAGGTCTGCAGGGTCTCCGGCGTGTCTGAAGTCAGCTCCCCCGCGATGGCGTCGAACGTCCGCCCGAGGCAGTGCACCGTCAGCTCCAGGCCCAGGTTGTTGTCTACAAGGAGACAAGACCGTCGATAAATCGCCAAAAAAAAAAGCAAAAACACACAAGGAAGCCAAATAGACGATAAGGTCACATCTTGCCTATTGGGCCTTCTGTTTATATTTCTTGGCCATATTTCTTCCTCAGGTTGAGCAAATACCGATTATAGCGCAGGAAAGAGCAAACTAGTAGTAATCCTATACACCTGTTACTAAATGTCGCTATACATTACAACTGCTGCTATCAAGTTCTTATGTGTGGCTGTACATGTACTTGTACGTGCTACCCATCGAACTTCAAATGGTCCTGTCAGCTGAAAGAGGCGCACATATATACCGCCTATCAACCATATCCAATATAGAAAGCTTCGAAACAGCAAGCTTCAGTAGAAATGGCTACAACTGGCTACAACAGGCTACAACTGTTCTAATTTCGTGGTACACTGTGTTAGTGACGGCGCATTGAACGTGCACGGCTTTTGCCTCCCGATGGTAACTGTGTTTTGAAGAAGAGTGACTTTCTTCATCTCTCACAACGATCCTTCGGTCGCGCAATGTAATTTTCTGCTACGTGTATTTATTGTTGTACATCTCTGACACTGACTGCTGTACAAGACGCTAAGTAACTCCAGATCACATGTAATCAAAATGCCGTGTTGATCTATGAACGCCTTGCCATGTCGTCACGACAGGGTCACGTTCATCTGACAAATTGCCAGACGAATAAAAAAGGCCTTGGAGAAAAAACCTTGGCATCTCTAATTTCATATGGTGGCGGCCGTAGCAAGGTCAAGAATGAAAATGGTCTTTTCGGCATTTCCGGTATTGATAAAAGAGTGAAACAGAAAAAGGACGAGAAACGGCCGTTTGCTAGATTTTGGACTTCTACCAAGGAGGTTAAGTTGCTAACTTGCCAACTTCCTAACAACTTACAGTGTACAGCAGCATGTGTATATACAGTTGTTATACGCACAGTTCTGCTGGAATCATACCGCATGTGTTGTGGCAACTTTTCAGTTGTTTTTACCACTTCTTGGTGCAAAACAATAAAACAAGTTGGGAAGTCGGGGTATTCTTGGAACTCTGTAGGAATGATAACATTATGTAACGGAGACCATTCTCACACATGCCACTCAGCACCGTGATAGCCGTAAACAAATTGTACCGTGACATTTGTTGGTTTTTGCGGGGAGAAGGAAAATACGAGACCAGGTGATGACCCTACGTTCACTGCGTCTTGTCATCTCAAGTACGTCAGAAGCGACATTCCAGCTCATCCAACGGTGCCGAGTGTTGACGACATTACACCTGTACGGACAGTTCAAAAACATTTCGAGAATACTTCGTCTCCACGCCCCTGACATCACGTCTTCCTCCCGGCTTTGAAGGCCGCTCCGGACCGCTCCTTTGAGTCTGTCGTGGCGCTGATGACAATGGCGTTAACGGTGGCTTTTGCCGGATCTACCGTCTGGTCACCAAAGCAATACCACAAACCACCAAGTTTGGCAACAAATATACTTAATAGGTGACGGTGTTTTATATGGCCGCAAGCGTCGACTGTCGGTATTTTATGGCACAAAACTTCGCCGTCGTAACTTGTGGTCGCAGCAGGTACATATCTAACTACTTGATCTAACTCTATATGATCAGAGAAAACCGTTTATCGGAAATCAAGCTACGTTCATGAACTCAACGACAGCAATTCAATTCAATTCAGGAATTTTAATCTGTGTCAGTAAACGAAGTCTGCTTCGAGCACCACTAGTGCTTCGCCACACTTGGCAAGCATCCCATTTTACATAATGACATTTATTCAAAGTGTCGTCAGTTTGCACGAGTCCTTTGTCGTGTTTTGACATATCGTTTTAGCAGCATCGGCTTTGACAGTGTCCAGAGACAAGGCCAAGATTAATTTACTGGGAGTGTTCCCGTAGCCATGGCAGTTATCTCACATGTCGTAAATCCACGCAAGGTCATGGTTGGGCATCGGTGATGCGACAAGTTCCCAGAAATGGGACTGTACTTGATCAACGTGCCGGATGAACGTGTACAAGAAACACAATCTTGTGTTAGGGGAGAGGGGGCGATCAGAAGGATGCGATCAATGTGTTCTTCCTCCACACGATCCGCTGTTTTAACACAGCCATGTATCCATCTTGGTTTGCGTCGCAACGTTTGGCTCATCAACGAGAGAAGTCTAGTGGACATTGTCAGCGAACACTACACACATTAGAGCACGAAGTAAATATCTGAACCAGTCGCGCCGTGTTCTATCTGACCCCTTCTCATAACATCAGAGAAAACTCCTAGCAAAGGTCCAAATATTTACACTGGTTTCTTTGGGGGAAGGCAAAGAGACGAGGAGAAATGGGATCTGTGTGAACTTCTCACAGCTGTATGCAGGTGAAAATGAATGGATGGATGGATGGATGGAAGGATGGATGGATGGATTGATTGATTGAAGGATGGATTGAAGGATGGATGGATGGATGAAAGGATGGATGGATGAAAGGATGGGTGGATGGACGGACGGATGGATGGATGGATGAAAGGATGGATGGATGGATGGATGAATGGATGGATGAATGAATGAATGGATGGATGGATGGATGGATGGATAGATGAAGAGAGGAATGGAGAGATATGACGTGGGATGACGTGATGCGTGACAGATGGAATGAGTAAGGAGAGTAACGGATGAGTACCTGTTTTGAGGAGCCACTCCCTGACTGTGTTGGTGATGTCGAAGCTGAGCCAGCCCTTCGCGCGGGTCTTCACCAACTTGCTGCCCAGGTAACGCTGCCGGGGACTGCCCTTGCCGTTCACGGGCGGCAGCAGCTGGTGCAGCTCGATGCGCTGCTCGGGGAGGTCCGCTGTAGGGTTGGCAACCTGGAACGGCAAGGTAAATCATGGAGGTTCATCTTAGTCGATTTTACATAGTGACAAATTAAACTGTCCTCCAACTCAAGGAAACTTCACACGAAAAATCACCTGTCTACAGTACCTAGGCCAGATAGCTGATGAAGACCGAGAGATTTGGTTGAAAATTCCCGTGAGTCAAAATCGCCTTGAGCCGGAGAAAAAAAGCAGTCATCCACAACTGGAATGGGGTATGACGCTTTTATTCGTCTCGCTAGAAGTGCAATGCGGCTCCGCTACAGCTTGAGTTTTCAGCCAAGCACTATGACGGGGTCTTGATGAGTGTGTTGGGTTCTTTGATGCTCAGAGGTTTGACAACTGAAGCTCACCCCTACACGAAAGGATAACTGGAAACCACGTGTACCTGTGTGTTTCTTCTCATCTTTGAATTTTTCTTGAAGTAAGTATCATTTAAAAAAGATGACAAGTATCATTTCAATGATGTGCGAGATAGGTGGCTCACCTGATAAATTCTAAGTTCTGCCTCTGTGACCTCAGACACATTCTGATACAACGACTGGACGTCAAACTTGAAGAACTGTGAGAATCGCTTCTCCAGCCGGATGCTTGTGTACGCATTTCCTGTAGCAAAGGCGAGAAAAGGCGCAAGGATAAGGTTAACTCATAATACGTCATAAGATGATGCAAAAAAAAACCGGCAATATATATATACTATTCTACACTCGTCCTTAACAAGCACAGGATTTGTGTTACCAAAACTGGGCCGTCTTTTTTTTCGAGCTGGACGCCCAATAAAATGGGATCATTTGTTGTTGTTGCTACTTGGCATTTCGGGCCCAAGTAAGTGCTATTGTTGTTCATTAGGAATTTTCGTTTTCCATATGATGTGTCTCACTGTCGAATATATGGAATTTTAACATTCCGTACAATTTAACGCAAAGAAAAGTCCATCGCACAGTCTGTAAGCTGACTGTCTGTGTATTCTGCTGCTCTGTCTGGACAATCGGTGGCCGTGAGGGGTCGTCTAGACTACAGAAGAATGCAACAACAGTAAACATGGTTACACAACAACAGAGAAGATGTCCCCCAGTGGACAGGTCTTCTGTCAAGGTCAGAAAACTTGAACTTGAACATGACGTCACGAAAGAGTCGTCTGACGTTCCCCTAATATCGATCTGTCTTGACAAGAAAACGTGACAACTACATCTAGAAAAAAGTAGAATGGACCCGTATCGACGTTTATTTCGGTAATTTGGCTGTTCTGAACTCAACAATGGAACAGTAACAGTAACAGTAGGGGAGGTGCGACCAAGGCAATGACCTTCTCTCAGAGCCAGTTAGGGCTAGTCATCAGAGGATGTGATTGTATAATCATGTGATTTATGGTATGAACTGATAGCGTGATTGAAACATGACAATCCTCTCCTGAGACCCCGCACGGAAACACACCAGGACCGTGAGTGATCCACGGTTCTTTTTATCATTGCCGAGTGTGGACGGTGTGCCTTTGGATGGGGTCATGATTCAGACGGACGATTTCTTTTGCGGCGACGTCTTCTAAATGTCGGGCGGAGCATGTTTCCTCTCCTGACCCAAATATCCGCTTCTGCCCATCTGCCGCGCATCTCCTGTGCAGAGAACCTGGCAGCTGCAGATAAACCTTTCAAACTCGTCTATACTTGGCAATCAGACAGATATCCAAAAATACACAGAGATCAGATATTTTGGGCGCCAACTCACGACCTAAAGGATATAGCAATTTTGGAGGCGATTCACTTGACATTTCGACAGTTTGGCTCATCATCCGCTCTTATTTCCTTCCTTCCAAATAATTATTGGAAATTTTGACTCATCCTTAGACCTGTGGTTGTGCTGTATAGGTCGTGCGGAAGGTGGCTGATGCGGAGTCTTGGCAGGCCGTCACGTCTGAGGGCAGGGTCAGCGCCCCCCAGCGGCCAGCCGGCTGCTGCCTCAGGAGTTCTCATCTGATGAGTGTGAGGGGTGGCTACAGTCACACTGCGAGATGACTAAAATTGATTTCTGATCACAGATAAACCACGCTTTCTCATATTGACTCATAATTTGTCAAGTCAGACTAGTTTTTAATGTCTGCTCGTTTACGTAGCCAGAAATCCAAGTCTAAAGGAAAGGGCAGCAAGGCTCTCGGCAGACTTAGATGGAGAAATGCAGAAGTCTAATTATGTTTATATACGTACATAGAGTTATGCACGTCATTTCTAAAGCCTTAAGTCGCAGATCCCCCATCAACGCTTGTATGCGAGACGAGGGGAGAACTTCCCGGAGACTTAACGATCTTTGACAGGGGCTGCTCAAGTCGTCAAGATTCACAGATACTCAGATAGAACGAGGTTAACTTTGATCAGTGGGGATGAAGCTGAAACGAGATCCCGTTTTTGTGAGTCTGGCACACGCGCAGGTGACGTCTCTGCGGGCCACCTGATGTTTGGGCGGAATTCTTGGCTGTTAACCTGCTGGCCTTCTGAGATTCTTCACATGCCTGGAAATTGAGCGATCGCTTGTCTGTACCTATATAAGTTTCGATCGCATAGTCTGCCTTCCTAAGCCGCTGACAAAAGTTGTTGCCAATTCGGGTCCAGACTGTGCGCTGGCACGCCGTTCCCACCCGTACAACCCCATTAACGCTGAGAATCTACTTAAAAATCTCGAGAGCCGACTGCAGCGTGGTTGATGTATTGGTCGGATTTCTGACAGAACGGGTCGGGATTGAGGTATTATTTTGTAAACTGTGTGCAAGTTCATACACTCGTCTCCAGCTGGGCCCTGTCATTCCGAACGCAGGAACATGAGACTCGTGTTTTCTTATTCCTCACAACCTTGCCGGGCACGACGCAGACCTATCTGCTGTGGGTCCATAAAGAGAAATATAAATCTACAACGTTTAACGGGTGGAGACACGAGCGAATGTCTGTGTTTACTGTTTCACTAGGAATGGCGTCTACTTTAAGTACTTCCAGCTTTTGTTTCTTTCCAACTTTATAAACAACGGCAAAAGTTTACCCCAAAACTTGCGGTTATCTTGGCAAGCGCCGCTTTTTTGTTCTCGATACCGCACTGTGAGATGGAATCAAACTTTTCCTGTTTCCTCCTGACTTCTGACGACATCTACCTGCGTCTCTGCACCAGCCATAGAGCAGGTTGGCGTCATGTCGTGTTTGTTGTTTTTGTAACTTGTCATACATTTGTAAGTATCCAAAGGTAATGACAGTTTCAAGCAGTGCAACAGATCAAGAGCGTGTGGCTCGAGGCGACGTTTGTCCGAGTCGTGTTGATCGACTGTCCACTAGAGAGAGAAGTGAAGTGCTATGGAGAAATAAACTTGTTCACCTGCATGGTGTAGACAGGTATGTGTTATAGGGCATGTACTGAGCAGTACGAACGTCTGTCCGGTATCACCGAGGGCACAACATGGCCGCTCATGATCACCTTCTGTGTTTGTTTCCATTAAGACTGACTGTGTTAGCCTGGATACTGTTCTCGTTCAGCTTTAGCCCATAGAGATAGCGGCTTAGGCCGAACAAGGCCGGTGTCCAGACTATAAGAGAGTGTGCGCTGCACTTTGCCACTTTTAGGGCAATGTGTCGAAGACGATGACGCGGGAGTTATCATGAAAAGGCTCCAACAACTTGATATCTTACTGCAGGACAAATCTGCCACGAGTTTACAAGGACAAAAGGGCGCCTGCACTTGATTGTTTACGTCAGCTCTCTCTTATGTAGGGCATCCGACTGACCTTTAGGTCCTTTGTCGCGGACTTTCAGATGACGCCGATAAGGCAGGCATCTTAATGACTTCAAAGAACAACCCTCAACCTCCACTACATGCAGCAGCACGTAGACATGCATCTTTTTGTACCGGTCCAATGTTTTTGTTAGATCCTTGTGGTTTTACCTTTTTCGTACACCAGAGAAGACATGTGGGCAACAAAATGACACTGTGGCAGGCTTAAAACTTTTGATGTATGAACTACTACCTCACGTGTACCTGTTGGTATAAGCTACCTGTTCATCTTATCGACTAGAGGCATCTGGGCAGATAGATTTTATATCACAATCATTTTCCCCGTGAAGCGTACTTGAAATTGGTCCATTCCGTTTCCCCAAACTCCAACAAGGATTATAACAAACCCGAGGGATAAACTTGAACCCGGTCCTGCAGCGGTTTTTCCGCCTGAGGGGAGGGGGATTTCCGAGGATGGATTGAAGCCAACTTGACCATCACATATCACCCGTCTTATATATCACGGATGCCTATAAGGGAATCGGAAATCTCTTTGAAGCGTCAAATCTACTTCATTGCAACAGGCTATTAGAGTCTTCTCAGTTAATACGAACCTATTTAAACCCACCAAAGGAAATAACGGACTTCCCCGCCGCCAATGATGCGGATCCCGATCTCAGCATGAAACCATTTGGACCTGCTGCTGATAACAGCTCTCAAACAGCTCCTAATGCCGAGAAGTAAATAAACGTTCTGCAAGGATGACTTTCGCCTTCCGAAGCTAAAGCTCGTCTCATGCGTGGGTTAAAAAGAGCTGTTTTCATCTTTGGAAGTACCAGTTTCGCCTCGGGCAAGATAAGTTGGTTTAGTCTGAAGCCTGCTTGATGTATATTAGATTATTGTAAAGAAAGGCCTTCGAATTGCTTCAATTCACTAGCTTGACAAAGACGGGATCTCGATCATTTACACGACAGGCTCAGTCAAACACGAGAAGATTGACAGTCGCCACGCTGCTGAGTATACAGTGCGTTTGATTGCCAGTACAGATGTTTTCGTCGATCGATTTGCCGGGTTGAGAAATCTGCCCTTTCCGGTGGGCATTCCCGGTCAGCCTTGAAGTGGCTGGTCGCTAGTTCTGCGGCCGGAACGACAGTCATCCAGCCCGGCAGTCCGGGTCCTGACTTTTCTTTGACTAAGTAACAATGATCCGTCTAATATACACTAATACATCGCCGTGGGACTCGGACAGGCCAGCGCAGTGGATTTGTGAACCCGGGTTCACAGTTCCATCATGACGTCACTTATCTTGATGGTTTACAGCTTGAGAAGTTGTTTAGTCAGGCTAGACACGTTGGACAGTCTTTTCGACAGCTGTAGCTCCTTTTAAACTCATAAATCAGGAACGGAGAGACGCAACTTTAGCGTGTAGAAATTATAAGGAACTTTGTTCACTATTCTTAACGGAATTTTGTCGCAAGGAAAACAAGTCTGTGGGAACTACCAGAGGTATGCAACTTGACATTGAACTTGAAGCCTGCAGGACGCCTCCCCTTGAGGAGACAGGCGCGTCGACGTCTATAAAAGCGATTTTTGTAGGGCGACCCGCCGGGCGCTGACCCATGCAGGCTGTCCTGAGTTATCGGCGATCCTGATTTCCCTAGATCTTCCTTATCTCAAGAATCAAACACACGGCGTGATAACTCACCAACATGATTGACTCGGACGGCAACACGGACTGGAATGGTTTAGGATTGCGCGGTATTTCCCGTCGCTATTGAAATGGTTACAGATGTAATGGAAGCCTGCTCGAAACTAAGAGTCTGGTCGCTATACCAACGTTTTTGCAGCCTTATTTGCACATATCAAGCAACAGACATAAACACCACACAATACAGACACTGTAGAAGACAAGTAGAACATGCCTACCTTTAGACGGCCAATCTGGCACCAATGGGAATCTTGTTACTGTCCGGCCATAGTACTCTTCTTTGACCCAGTCTGTGCATAGCTCCTCCCGCTGGCGACTCTGCTCTGCCAGCAAGTCTCTGGTCTGATTGTACACAGCTATGATATCGTCTGGTGTCTCCGCGGGGCCCGGGTCTGTAGGAGAATCGCTCATCCCCAGTTTGCTGAGAATCTGTCCCTTCACTGCGTGTATTCTCCTCTTCTTGTACTCCCCTATGTCCAGGCGGCAGTTCGCCGACGAGGAGACCACGGCGTTCAGCAGAACTAGTCCCGAGAACATGTACCCTACCAGCGGGCGCATCTCGCAGTCTTGTGTCCCTACACGCAGCACGCTAAACGCTGACGAGCCCCTCTACACGTGCCGGTCCACGACAAGAAGGCAGGAAGGTCCTGACGCTCTTGAAAAGCTGCCAACAAACACAGACTGCAGCTCCGCTCTGCTCCCAGTCCGTAGCGCCGCCCGCGGTCGTCAGCTCTGGAAACAGGGGAATGTTATGTTTTATGATATTATGTATTAGTCGTGTTGAGAGACCACTACTGATGTAGACAATACCACTTGACGGGAGCGCTGCCTACTAAAACACTGTGGTCCTGCAACAGTGCATCCTACAAGTGTCTAAGCCAGACTAGCTCCTCGCCGACAAAGACACGACTTATAAACCATCTCCTGGAAGTGGACTGGGCCGTTACTCACTGGCTGTACGAGACAAGTCGGGGGTGTAACGTGAGTAGAACCGATCGACGTGGGCAACTCCGACGGCGCGGGCTACACTAGGGCATTTGCGGGGGCGAGCGCCGTCTGTTGACAAATAATGACGTTAGGACCAAAACTTCCAAAGCTCGTCCTCCAATCCTGGCAGCTGAGAGAGAATTAAAGCCACTTATAGACCTGAATAGAACTGAAGTGACGAAACTTCCCTTTTCTCCTTTCGTTGCGGATATAGACTAATTTGGAATGTTTATGTTTACTTCACGTTACTCAGTGCAATCCCTAGGGAAACAAAATAAAGGAAAAATAAATCAAACGTTCCTCGTTACAGGGAAAGTGATCAAGCTTTCCTGTTTTAAGTCATCGATCCGGGAACGCCCAGTCTTAAACATTCGAACCGCCCCCTTCCCCGGTGCGATTTGGTTGGTCTGTGAGTTACTGGCCTTGACAGTGAACCACGCTACGCGTACTGTGAAGTCAGGTCGCCTCCAGGCCGCTCCAGTAACCAGACCTTCTGTAGCACTAAAATAACTGGACTTCGTGCCGTACAAAAAGGGCAGGCTGACGGAATTTCAAACAAAACACATCCATATAGACGCCTGAAAAAGCCATGGGACAGAGGCAGATCATATATCACGATCCTACGTTCAACTTGAACTCATAAAACAAACCGCGGTGCTTTCCCTCGGGACTTACCACGCTCAGCACCCAGGTGTTTTAGATAAGAGTACACGGTGAACTTTGAGGTGACATGACAATTCAGGAAATACATGTCACCGATTACATTGGACGACAAGAACATAGTCACATTGGGGCAGGCTAGCCTACTTCCGCGTAGTAAAGGGCGTGTGTATTTATCTGAAGACGGTTTCCTACGAATTGGCTTCAAGCCTTGAAACTACTAAGTCCTTCTAGATATAATGGAAGCCAGACCACACTACAAATTTTACTCGGCTTTTTAACTAACCAAAAATACATCGGCGTTTACTCTGAGCTAATTTAACTAGGTGGCAGACACAACATCGCTTAATGGATGGCGAGAATTTTCTCGACATGTGAAAAGCTAATTTACCGGTTTACCGTAGGTTCATCGGGGGATCAGCGGGCGAGCCGCCGCCGGTCTCAGCGGGACGAGGCGGTAACGTCGGCGGCACCCACGGACGGCTGACCTTCCCTGACTGTAGCCTGTTACCTTCTGAAGTTATGTCTGAGGAACTGTTTTGGTAATCTGCCCGTGACGACATTTGACCATACACATACACAGAGCTTTGACTCTGTCCATATTTAGGACATATTGACATCTCGGGGCAAGTGTCACTGGCACAGCGACAGATAAGACGGTTATTATTGACATCGGGCTGTACAGGTTATAACTTCACTCAATTTGTTCTGAGCCCTGGTACTCAATGTTCAGGGTAAAGAAAGGAGTCAGCAACGTGAAAGGTGTGTTAATATGAGAGGAAAGCTGACACCTCTTTATAACACGAAAGCCAAACAAAGTTACGCTTTAGAATATTAGATTGTTCTCGTAGTGTATTGGACGATTGTTGGCTGACACATTGCCAGGTTACATGTGCGACATGTGCCCGGGTCGTTCTAGCTCTGGGGTGATCAGATTTCCGCGGGTATGGAGAGCGTCCGTCATCACAACATGCACGGGGAGAGCTTTACCAAGGATCAGGGTCTCAGAGCGGGGATGGCAACCTTTATCAACCGTGCCTACAAACTTCGGGTCGTTTTGGGGCAGGTGGCTGTTAGTCACCTGTGAACCCAAGCCACAACAAAAGCCGCCGTGCACGCTCTCTTAACGTGTCGGTCTGGCATTTCCTGTTGTGATATACGACGGTCGCGGGCTATGGTTTTATTGCACGGCTATAGTTATAACTTATAAGACATGGCCATCAGGACGTTATGCTCTTTTCTCATATATGTCTACCTCATTTATTCTCTGTACCGGGAGCTGCTATAGAACAGTGGACTGTAGTCATTCCTACATTCCCTATTCTTATTGCCTCACCAATATTATCTTCCTACGAGTGCCACTGTCTAACAATGATTTATTGTGTAATGTTATCTGCATTTTGAAGAGGATCAACAAGTCCAGACGGGGTCAAGTGCGTGCCCCCGTATCATATCAAACGTACGGCCCCAGTAGGCTACCTGTCTGACATATCTGGGCCATGGAGCGGCGGCCCGGCACCCAAGTTTAGCACCGACCCCCTGCACGTCAAGAAAACAATGATGTCACTTCCGTTCTTCGTTTCCTGTTCGACCTGCTCGCTTCCGCTTTACCATAGCGCACGCGTCTGGCCAAGAATGTGGCCAAACAAACACGCATATTCAGTTACCCTAACCGTACAGTATATACACGTGATTGAAGATCATACCAGGCCGGGACGCTTTAATAATACTATGGAAACTTGTGAAACGCCGGTTAAAGGCAAAGGCTAAACTCGCTCCACTGCGCTTTTGCAGCAGAAGGTCAAGGATGTCCAACATTGACACAAAGATTTGGTGAAAAAAAGCCGCCACCTGAAATTTTTAACTTCTAAAGGTAGCTTTACAACATCTGGGAGACATTCTAACGATGAGTAATCTAATTCAAACCATATATGTAGTCCTTCGCCAATTGGAAAAGAAATATCATCAACAGGTGTTTTTTTAAGCGTTGTTAACAAAAAAATAGACTGGTCAGCGTTGGCGTGGTGAGGAAGTCAGATGAATCAGCTGGCCAGGGTTCAGAGCGGTCACACCTCACATTTCACCTGACCTGAGATCCTGCCGTGTGGGCCGGCAGACGGCACGACGCCGTGACCCCTGACCTCCGGCGTAACGTCCCAGACAGGACCGGAAAACGTACGGCCAGGGCGAGGGCGAGGCCGCAGCGACAGACGGCACGGCCAAAATCGTAGGTGTCCTCCCCAGCCGCCGCCGCTGAATCAAGTTCCTTGTGTACGAGTGGGGATTTCCCCATCCACAACAACGACTACGCACCGCTGCCAACCGCCAGATTTTTGTGGTGTGTGGGTGTATCGACACATCACGTTAATTTTCCGGCGAAGGAAAATAAACCCCTCCGTCATGATATCGTATGACCATAAGAATCTGAATAACGCTACGAGTGTGATTCCTTTCCTCTTAACTATCTAAATTCCATTTGTTGGGAAATAGCGCATCACAGGAACCTACTCATCATCATATATTCCTCAGGAAGACGTTTAGACGGTGTGAAGCTAGTGGAAAGAAAAGTTCACATTTCTGTGGTACGAATTTTCCGTCCGTCTGTATGATTAAATGCCCCTGGGTGAGACCAGAACGTCAGGAAAGAAACAGGCCAGTGACGGTGCAACGTCCGCGAAACAAGTACTTAAGAACCCGACAATTATAGCCTTAAATGGTCATCACAATATTAGGGAAATCGCGCCGGAAAAGACGTAGGCAGGTGCTTTGTTGTTGTTGTTTGATCCTGCTGTTTACTCCTTGACCACAAACAGGTGAAGGCTGCAGCTGGTGGTTGAACACAGTAGTGTCCGGATCGAGAACAATGCGAAGTAAAACCAAGGTAAAACCAAACATGGGCATAAACCCAGATGCACCATGACCGCAAGTCAACTGGCATGTTCTAATTGGTAAACTTTTAGGTGAAAAAAGCAAAGTTTCGCACGACTGTTTTTGGTACCATCAGCGTGAAAATGCACTTTAGGATCAAATACAGGTGTCTCGTAAACATCCGCTGCCAAACAAGGTGTGAAACAGGTATAAGATCGATGTTTGATACAACATTGAACATTGGAACTATAGCTTTAAGTTGTGGGCGCCGCAATTCCAAAACTCTGAATTCGTGTATAAGTTTGGCGCCGTGATGGAAGTGGATAAGTAGAAACAATCAGCTAGTACAAAGCCGCTAAAAGGACAGACTACAAGACATGGTAAAAAATTAACATTAGGCAGTCGTTGTTAGAACTCATAAAAGTGAATTTGGGGAGGACACCTATCGGAGGGAGGTGACTCATGGTTTAAATCGCGTAGTGGGCTTGACACGTATCACGACATAGACTACATACAGTCAATGTAAGGTCAATCTATCACAATAAACACAGCGCGCTGCCTTAAACTATGCACTTTTTGAGAGATCATGCGGTCATACACGACAGGATGGCTTCTAATCCGACGACATCCTCAGTCATAACACTTTCACAACTTTCTCTGCTGACGACCTCTTGTGTACCACCCGGCCTGACACGGCTGACCTGCGCTGACTCATTACAGTAAACATCATCTTAAGGACCTAGAGCTCCTTAATCTCACCAAAGGTGCCATTAATGACCATAGGACGCCCTCTAGACTTACAACTTGATTTGTGCTGCTCGTGCTAATTGTCATTGGCTTATCTATAGACTCAACGCGTGGAAATAGCCAAGAGAAAACCCTTACTTGCACAAAAATAGCTCCCGTCAGCTCCCTGCCCGGTGCAAGTTAAACTTGACTCGGTTCTACCCGGGGGGACCTCACCGCGCGGTCAGCGTGCCATGTCGTGTAAACAAGCAATTCCGCCGCCCAGACATCAGACAGACCATCTCCGCTAGGAAGGGCGAGGTCTAAGATGGCAAATTAAAAACTTATTCATCTTGGCAACCTTGTCGTGGATTGAAAGGCAAAAATTGCACAAGAGACAACCTACATCTTCTGACCCACATCCCCAAACTTCCTTCCGACGGAACTCTGGTCCTTCTTGATAAAGGCGCGAGGCTGACACGATACAGTTCTCCTCCACTCCGCGGGGGGTGCGACTGCATCCTTCAATATCTCAACCAATTACTCTTTTTTTAAGTATAAAAACGGTTTATTATGGCATTGGTTATCTGAGGCCTGGACGTGATACTATTGAATATTCATTTGATCATCTCTGCATCATATTGCACCGGTGACGTCTTATCAAATCAAGGATACGTAAACATTTTGGTACGTCGAAATTCATGTCTGGATGTCCAGTACGGTTTGTGATAAAAGGATATGGCCATGTTGTTGACGTTTTCAGTTCTCAGTGGGAGCAGAATGTAAATACGTCTTCTTCTATGACGTCATCGACTTGAGCATATTTATCTACAGTTATCGGATCTGCTTCAGGCAGACTTTGGAGCTGTACAAAACTTAACGCATGATTAGCTAGTACTAGTGCAGGGCCTGTACGCATGGGTTCACCCACACAGTACAGCAGGCTATTTCTACAGGGCAAAACTGATGACATCCTAGTGCAGATAATAGTCGGACCTAAACCCTCCATCATAAACAACTACTCTTGTGCAGTAGGAGAAACGCCCCAGTACATGACTTACCTGGTAGTTGCCCCGTGTGTGCTGTATTCTGATACTTCAACCACTATGATATCTAGTCAAGAAGTATGATGTACCCCAGTACTGGTGAGACTGCTGCTGCGATACAACTTAGACACAACAGAACAACTGTAAGACTACACAACTTGACTGAACCTCGAGTGACACTTCCTTTATATATACACTTATCATATTCAGCCTGACCACATGCTGACAGGCAGACAATATTGATTCAAGGTTGAGGTTTGATGCAGAGATGTAGCTCGTGTGTATGGTCCAAAGTCTTGCGAGTACTTATGAGATCATTGCATCTGGGTGTCTTAAATATGAGCTATTTCTGAAATAGTCATTCGCGCATGCGCAGAGAAAGTTCTGTGCTGGAGAGTGAGGGTTGTGACGCCGACCCGTGGGAAAGTACACAGAGACGCCCTGCGGCAGGCCGGTCACCTCGGAAAACCCTGCAACGTCAGGTTTATTTTAGGAAACTACGGCGGCGGTTACAAGAACCCGTGGGCGCTTCGCAGTTGACCGTCAAGCCACGTCCTGACGTCACGCGGCGGTGGAAGCAGGTCTCCCGCGTGTCAGCCAGATGTGAAGCTGGCGGGGATTGGCGGAGGGGAGGACATCAGACGGCGCACAAACATTGGGCCTGGTCCAGGACACGGGGAGACGCACCACGGAGGGGGCGCGCGGATCATGGAAAACCCCAACAGACAACGTGTCATTACAAACTGTGACTTCACCAGTACCCAAAATACACGCTGTTGGTTCAATCATAGGATATTTCCTACTCTTATCCAAAGTCCACACAACTTGCTACACTGCAAGCACTGGTCGGGATTTGCGTTTTGTTGACCTGTGTGTGATCTGTGTGTACTTTGTGGCGATTGTGAATCACCACCTATAGCACTACACAATGTAAGAACTGTCTGATGTCTTACAGCAGAAAATCCGCGTAATTCCATTACGTCATCTGAAGAGATGACTTCAAATGGAAAGGTAAACAGAGGATTTGTCCCATGGGAAGTTTGGTTAGTGTCCTGATGCGGACCCAGCTTCAAACAGACCTCTGTAAGCAGGGTCAGTGATCAGGGTGATGTCATGGGAACGTCTTCAGTAGCCAGGGGAGACCGCCCTGGTTTCCTTTCTTACCGCCTAATGAACCTAGAATATCAAGGAGATGAAGTTAAATACATTCCGCGCATTTCGTTAAGTAGTTGCTGATTTCGGATCAGGGCATGTATTATCATTCCGGTACTTCTGCTTTTTGACGATATACAAGAAGCCAGTAAGCGTAAGGCAACACAGAAAGGGTGCCAGGCTCGGTAGTGATTCGTAAGTGGTGGTGGAAAGTAGGGTCACAAGTTCAAACAGATCAAAATTGTTTTGGTTTAAGCCACAGGTTTATCGGGTGAACTTGTAAAATTGTCTTTCCCGTGGCGACCAGTGGAAGAATAACTGTTCTACAATGACCTAAAGTCCATCGTCAAGTGCACACTGTTGAACCAGATCAAATGTAAGGTTTTCGGCACCCCAATCCGATATGTAATGAACAAAAATGGGCATTTTAATGAACAACAAACGGCCTTCGTTATATTAGTTGGCGATGCTGAGTGCGAACATTTGAGACATTTGATGTTTGACTCGAATCAGGTGGTTAAGTTGTTTTTCTGGCTGAGAATATTTGATCCGTCCCTAGGTGGGCGACCCTTGGCCTTTCATGGCCTTCGTTTATCAGGAGAATACTGCTGAACAAGACATTCCACTTGGCGGATTCCTGCACCTGTGCAGAGGCAACTGTCGCCATTCATCACCAAGAATTATCATCAAACACGCACACACAAAACACGGACAATTTTTTCAAGAATAAAATGTATGGTCCATGGAACGCAAAATACTAGTCATAGGACTCCTCATCATATGGAATTGGCGGATATGAAGTGTTTTGTTTTATCATTTCAACCTTCAAGGCTGACCTCCATGTATGTGGATGTGTATGGTACATATCAGTTGGTACGGGTATCGAAGGTAGCGCCCTTGGCCGCAGCGCCCGTATCGGAAGGCGGCAGTTCTGTCCTCACCCCTGTAACGACTTCAGGGTAAGAGCAGGTGCTGCTGAAATCTTTAACAAAAAACATATTTACAGTCAGTCTTGACTCAGCAACATCCCCGCGGTTTAGTCTACCCCTAATGCGAACGGCCTGCCCACATGCACGTAAAACAATCGGACCACAGACACAAACACGCTTCTAACAACGCCTCGTCTTAACCCTGGATGAAGTCGCACAGGCCTCTTACATCCCGCCAAATTGACATTCTTGTTACAGCCAAGCTCAACAACAACCCACAGCTGTTTGTGAGCACGCCGATGCAATTATGGCACTTCCTCGCGTGTTGCAACACCATAAATATATTAACACATGGTTCTGTGTCGCGCGCTTCCCTCGCTTGACTTCTTCATCGACCGCACACTGGTTACTATGACAACGGGGTTGCTAGGACTTCCTGCCAGGAGCAGGTGGGTGGATGATGGACACGGGGTCAACCTGGGGGCACACATCCATCAGGTACACGGGAGGGCGCAGAAAAGTCTGTACGTTGTTCTGTGGAACTTTCCAATGTTGATTAAAGGGGTAGAGCAAGACAACCATCTGAAAAAAAGATCCTCAAGGCCTAGAGCTGTGTACCGGTACGCAGTACCGATACTGTACCGGTAAAATTGATTAGGTACAGGTCCAAAATACCTAATCCCTCAGTACCGGTACTGTACCTAAACAATTTCACACCAATTTTATGCCTATTTGTGACCGCAAATGTGTAAATAGCTGGTTAACAATGGGTCCCTGTGTAAGGACAGTGTGTTCATGAAAACAAAAACATATATATAGCCTATATTTTATCTGAGCATTCGCCATAAACAAAGAATAAACCTTAACTATCAAGTTTATTTATGTTTTTTTTGTTATTGAAGGAGTTCAGAAGAGCATATAAATTGGTCGAATTGTTCAGGTACAGGTTCAGGTCCGGACCTGTACCTAAACCTGTGTACCTGTACCTGTACCTGTACCTAAAATTTGTTTAGGTACACAGCTCTATCAAGGCCTCATCTTGCTAGCCTGGGTGCCATCCGATTTGTAACGGCAACCCCGAAAAAAATGCATATCATCTTGCTATTTGCATTTTACAGTTAAAGCCCACACACATATACTCTGTAGACAGTAGCACCCCTGTACCCACTATGTTCTTTATTTGGCAAGACTTCAATTTCCATTGTTTTAGCACTGCCTATCTTAGGAACCAGTTACTGAGCTTATCTGATGTGGGAACAAGTTCTGATGTAACAAATAACCATTGTGCTTAATGAATACAGAGTTATCTTGAGGAATTCTTCAATGGTACTTCCTGTGGTGAAAACAAAGGGTCACAGTTTACCTGAACAACCTGGATCTTCAGGAATGCCGAGTATGTGCTCTGTAGATCCCATTCCTACTGGTTGACACTTAAATCCGCTTTATCTGTAATCAAATTGACCTCACAAAAACCCCATTGGTGGGTTGGTAAAGATGATTGGCAGGCGATGACTAATCATTTCCTTGATGGAAAGATGTTTCATTTGTGGTGGTACCACACAGGAACTCTGTGTGTGTTCCTGGGGAGGTGGCCGTACAAGGAGAGCCTGGTTAGGTCATTAGCAGGAGGTGGGTCTTGTCAGGAATTACAGACTAAATTAAAAGTATACTACATGTATTTCATAATTAGCACCAGAAGTGCATTTCATGGTGTCATGCAGGTGACTGACTATCATGCAACCATTCGCAAATAGTTTACCTTTGAGTCCAAATCCCACATCATTTTCAGGTTGCTTCACTTTTCTGTGGCAGGTGTGATGTTGAATGTCAAGAATTGATGTAAGAATGACAAGGAAGAACCATAATTAAACTGATAGTTTTAACATGTCATTTATGTCATCAGTCACTTGATATTTGGTAATACTGCAATTTGAGCATAGATCTAAAATATTTCCCAGTGTCATCTCCTCTATCAAGCAGATTTGAGAAGTACATGTAGCTTGGTTCTTGGGATGTCCTCCATTTACATTTCAACAATGTTGCTGACAGGACAAGTCTCAGATTCAAGAAATAAGTTTCTTTTCAAGAAAGCCCAAAGGTGTATTCCAAGTGGAATAATAACATTTAATAAAATTAAAGATTAAAAGATTTTCACAGTTCACAACTACATACTGAACTTGTTCAGATAAAGCTGACATCATTGTACTAGAATAATTCTATTGTTGAATCCAAGGCTTTGTACAAATCTTAAGTGGAAGAACTCTACACCAGGTAGTTGTGGAAATATTGACATGTTCATATCAAAAGGAAATGTTCTACAGGAACACAAGCAAGCCTTGGTTATCCTAAAAGGAAGTGGAGAGGAAAACAGGAGGGGGTTGTTACTTCCTCAGAGTAGGTCACACAGACGGTGTGTGGTCTGGTCTCTCCTCAACATGGGAGGGCAGGGCAGAGGTCAAGTTCTGAAGCAATCTGTCACCGGGGAGCACTTCAACTATGATAGACAGGGCTCTTATGGAACCTTAGGTCAAACTTTGACACATAGTGTAAAGTGTTCTATGCATCCCACCTATCATAGAAAACAGTGCATAGTATTGTGTAGATTTACACATTAATTAACAAGATGTTTTGATTGTTATTACAGGGAAAAGTTGTACAAAAATATGATATTTTGTCAAAATTACACCTTTGCAAAAGGTGTGTGTGTGTCTGTGATGAGGTCTTTTGGGAACTATTATATGTATATATTGTAGGTTTTACAGATGTTAAAATAGATATAGATGTTTAAAGTACTGGATTTACAACCATACTGGATGTACAATACATTTACAACCATATTACACCATACAAAGTACACAATCTGCCCATGTTTGGAAGGTTTCCATTTTATGGTTTAGTCCTCATCTCCACTAGATAAGTCCTCCTCTCCACTCCTCTCCTCCTCCTCTTCATCACTCTCCTTGTCCCAGTCCTTCATGTTGGAGCCCATCATATAATCATCTCGCAAAATCTTCCAGGACGGCTCATCCTTGTCTGGCACCTTCCCCTGGAAAACACATGGCGATGTTAGGGCCTGCTTCCTGCCACACAGAACAGTCATGGGCATGGTACAGACATTAAGAACACCTGCACTGCACCTGTTCAGACAACACATGGACCACTGCTGGGATTCATAGACTAAACACATCCTAAAAATTGTGGATTACCATTGAACCGTCCAGATGTGAAGCAAATGTTTATCAACCCTTAATGACAAATTAGTGACAGATTGACTGCATCAATGTCATGATTGCCTAAATGTGGTCTTCTTTCTTGTACAGGATAAAACTGTAAAGGAAGCTAGCAGGGCAAAAGAAATTGTTAACACATTCAAAGTGGTTCAGAGATGCTTGAAAATAGGTCCAACACTGCCTGAATTGACAAATAGATAAGCAAGTGGCAATATATTTACATTAAGAATATTACAAGATCAGCACAAACCACTTATTCTTTTTTAATAAATTCATGTAAAATCAAGTAAAATCCTACCGGTATTGTCATAGAGTACCTTATTAAGTTGGTTGTCCTTTCTTCTTTCCATTGTTCCACTTGGTGCACCTGCTGCTTTTGTTTCCTTGAGTTTATCCAGAAACGAACCTTTGCTGATTGATGACATTGCCTTGGCTTTCTTACTCTCTGTTGGTCCAGCCTCCTGCAGTTTTTCCTGGATGGTCTTCTGTTCCTTCTTAACAGCGTTGAACAGCTGCACAACACCTCTGCAGGAAATAGGAATAAAACAACATGAACCTCACAGATCAAAGGCCATCCTGTATACAAGAAAGTGCAGGATTCTGATCAAGCCAAGGTGTTTCCTTCAAACATGTGGCCACAGTTACCCGAAACTAAAAAGATAATTTGAAATAATTTGAAAATACTTAAATCAAATCTTTCCTGTTTATTTTTATATTTTTTTACCTGGAAAGAGGCTAAAGCGTGATCCACAACTCGGATAGCTGTAAAACTAAGGCATATTCTACAACACTGCTAAGAATCCATTCCAAACATGATAAAACCTCGGACTAACAGAACATGTTACCTTGTTGCTATTCTTTGCAGTGCCCTTTCCCTTTCTTTCTCTGCAACATCAGGTTTCACTCTGCCCATCTCTTCCCATTGTCTCTTTACTCCAGCCTAGTGAAACAAAATACATGTGTATTAGTGGTGGTGGTACAGCACACAGGCAAAGAAACTGTTCCTACAGACAGCATCAATCTAATTGCATATTTTCTTAATTGTTAAGTTCTTTAGCAAGTGGTTCTAAAGAATAACTTGCTAAATTGGCATTAGATGATCAGTAATTATCTCTTTAACATTTCGAGCATTGTCAAATACAAGTACTACTAGTCTCACTACCTCACAGTGAGAAGCAACCGATTTTGTTGCAAAGGAAAAGGAAACAATGAAAGTACCTTTTTTGTCTGTTCTTTTTTCTCCTCCCTTTCTTTTTCTTTCCTTTTCTCAAATTCTTTGTTCTTCACCAAGATTGGTGTCTGCTTGTTGCTTGCCACCTGCTTCCCCAGGATCTTGGCCATGGCGTCTGCCCATCCAGCGTTCCCTGCTGTGGAGTCTGTAGGATGTGTGGGGCTGTCCTCCCCATCCTCATCATGGTCAGCACTGATCTCTGATGGTGAGTTAACAACATATAGAGTATGGTCAGTCTTTTGTACAAAAAGTAACTGTGCAGAATGAATGTGTGCACTATATATAACATTGAACATGGTTATAACACTTCTTCATTTGGCTGTCCAATATTATACTGTACCTTGAGGATACATTGAGGATACATCAGTGGCTAAAGGCGTTGTATTAGCTATAGCGGTTTAGTGATTCGTTGGATAAGGGTGGATTTTTTTACCTCCATCAGTCCATAACATATTTAAGGAGGTTTAGGACGGAAAGTTTCTGTCTCACGTCCTTGGCATATTCAAGTAACGTTAGTTACTAGCAGGTTTCAGAAGCATAATTTGTACACCATCATCAAACACACAACATAAAAGTTACATACCGTACTAACGTTACATATTTTTGCTGTAGAGAGGTGGATAGCTCTTGCATGTATCTATGGCCTGATATTTCGCATTCATAGTGGTGACCTTGCTGTGAGCCGGACAGATTCTAGCGATACCGAGGAAAAAATTAGACGGTTTTGCTTTCACGTGCGTGAGCCGTGGGGAGGGGGGCTGCTAAAAACGATTCAACGAGTAACAAATATTATGTCATAAAAGTAGTAAATAAAACACAAATGATTTGATTAACAGTACCATCGTCATCTTCGTTACTACTTGCGTCAGCCTCACTGCCAGAATCCTCCTCTGAGCCGTACGAAACGTTTACAAAAGCTCGCTTCTTGTGTCCCAACATGTTTTTCGTCTGCACGGCGGCCATGTTGACCATTCCATTAGACTAATAGGGAGGGTAAGCAAACATAAAGGAACGTTTTAAAGATTGAGAAGTTGATATAAAAATTAGAAACGTTAAAAATGCAATCTAATAGTACTTTATATGTCAATTCTTTTGCTAGGTAAGTAGAATAATAACGATATCTTTTTACAATAAAGTTATTTTAAAAATTTATATTTCGCTTCTCCTTTCAAAATGTAGTATCCTCCCACATGTCTTCACGCGTTACCTAAATAGTTTGCAAGAGATTATCAAAATTAGTTGATGGGACTCATGGGAGTATCATAAGTCGAAGGAAAAGGAAGAAACGATGAAAGACACGTAATTTGACGAGTTAACGGCGCGTAAAACTCATCGAGCATATAGATCACCTTTGACCTCTAGAACGCCAGTGCTGGGCAGGTTTTGGCGCGAAAACATTGATTCATACTGGGTGTGTTGTTGTTGCCTGAACTGAAGGTAAGAGTTGGTGGTTTTGCAGGGAGTGGTTCATCCAAATAATATGCGGCATAACATCCTGGCAATAAACACATATCGGATATAACTCTTACCATCGAAACGTTACTCGGCATGTAACCAGATTGATTGGTTGATTGAGCCAGTGCTGTATTTAGATGCAAATCGGTTTCGCCCCCCTCCCACTCTCACCTTCATCCCTTCATGTTCCAGGATAAAACGTTTAGCGTTTCCTGGCAACTACAAGCATCTCTTAACGTACAGCGTTATGTGAATTTAGGTGATTAAGAGTTTTCGTCATGTATAAGCAAGAAGGTTGATAACCAAATGACAGACAGACGTCACTGCCCCTACGGCTTAATTTATGCAATGAGCTTCCATCAACATGATGATGAAAGCTCCTTGATCTATGGGACTAATGATGATGATGGTGATGATAACCAGCTAGCTATTAGATAACATTTTTACCATATTATATCACCTGCAACAGTTTTGTTAACACTAAACCTCCTCCCGACACTAACACAGATCAGCAAGATTCACGGCGTAATTTGACACCAATGAAGAATCTAGAGAATGTCATGCAACAGAACAACGGGTACCACTAGAAAATCTTACCAATACCAGGCTGAAACTCCTGCATGTCACCGAAGCAGATCCCTTCAAAGAAAGTCACAGCGGGAACAGAGGCAGCTCAGGTTTGGGGACAGAGAGATGACAGAGGAAGGAAGGTCTGTCAGTCCAAGAAGACGAAAAAGCACCCGTGCTGCAAAGAACCCAAGAGTCTCATACGAGGAGTTAGGAGACGTGTCTCTCTCAGATGAGTCTGATGGGTCTTTGTGGGATGAAATGGGACTCAGTGACTCTGATGAGCTGTCGCAGAACAACAGAAGAAAGAAGCAGAAGAGGACGATGCAAACTCGCAGGAGGATGAGGGCGTCAAGTTCAACAAAGAAGAGATTCACCAGGGGTCATGATGCTGCATCATCATCAGAGGAAGAAAGTGATGACTTTATTGTTGATAGTGAGGTCACAAGTTCAAGTTCTTCCTCCCAGGACCACAGCGACGAGTCCTGCCCCAGCCCACAGGAGATAAAACAGGGCAAGAACAGGCCGAGAACGAATGGCAGGGCAAGACGTGATGCTGAAGATATGAAGAGGAACTCTGATGAAGATGTTGTTGCAGTGAGTAGCTCGGCCAAGAAAAGGAAGAAAAGTTCAGCTCAGTTAGTGTCGTCCTCAGATGAAGAAGAACAACAGAAGAGGAGGAGGAGGATCATAATTGCGTCAGACAGTAGCGACAGCTCAGATGAAGGCTGCAGAAAGTTGGAAACTTCAGAAACCACCTCAGCTGAAAATGGCCAGCCCAACAACCAGCAGCGTGCAGGAGTGAAAGATGCTGCTGCTATGAGCGAGGGTGCTGGTGGAGGAGTCCGGTCAGACAAGGGAAGGTCTGAGAAAGATGGCCGAGACAGAGACAAGCGAAATGGTACATCTTCATCCAAGGCAAGGAGGGCAAGAACATCTGCCATACAAGACAAGAAGCAGACTGCCCTGGAGAGGTTAAAGAGGCAGAGGGACAGGAAGAAACAAGGTAGCTGAACGTCTTTTTTCTTATTCTGGATTCATCTGATACTAGTACTTTCAGAATCATTTTGTAGTGTATGTATGAAGGATTTTTTTCTTCTATCAGATCCCTTATTACCATGTTTTCAAACAAGCCTTCTTTCTTGTTTACATTGAGCAGCATGTACTAATTTTCTGGTGCAATGATGAACAATATGCTGCGGTTACCTGAAAGAACCATGAAGTTATAGGCATACCTGAGCACAATAGGACCTTCCATGTAGCCTACATGACAGTCATTTGTTTTGTTATTGTTTGATTCGATGGTTGGATAGGCTATTCCTGTTGTAGAAGGGTATGGCAGTTTCCCATACTTGCTCACATCTTTATAATCAATTTAAGTATATTTCTTTATTTTTCCAACAACCGAGGAATCAACAAAAGCATGTGTGAATCAGAGGAGGAGGAAGAAGAAGATAAAGCTGAAGTCATCAGTAGTGAATCTGAAGACTCCTTCATTGTTTCTGATGAAACTGATGAGGAAGATGGAGATGAAATCCTGGAGGATGAAGATTCGGTGGTATGTGCTTGTATAATGCAATGTGTACATGTAGTATATGTAAGCAACACTCATGTAAAGTAATAATCTTTTGTAGTCAACTGTTGAATTTTACAAGGAAAAAGTAGGGTAAAGGGGACAAAAATCAAGACTTTTTATTGATATTTTTTATAATTGTACCTGTGTAAGGATCCTAGTTGAGGATCCTTAGGATCCCAATAGTTGACCACTGACCAGGTGGCAATAAAAATAGTTACATTGTGAACTTTAATCACACTGATCCCACCTTAATTTTTATGGAGAAAATGTAAAATGCTTGAATTACACCTTTCTACCAGTTCATTTCACCAGTTGATATACTGATATACCTTGAACATTTTCTCCTTATCCAGGGAGAGATAGTTCATCAGGAGAAGAAGACACAGTTCCAGAGCTGGTTGGAGCTGATGCTGTGTGCAAACTTACAGGACAACCCAGGGGAGTACCTCCGCACTGCTAGGTTCAACAGAGGTAAGGGCTGGGCTGCAGTTTATGATGTGGTTGATAGGGGGCACTTGGCAGAACAGCTCCATTCAAACCTCAACTTCGCACTGGCATTGTTTTCTTGGTCATTAATAGGGGCTTGTGTTTGGGCTTGACAGATCAACTTGCAGCTTAATTTTTAAAAAAAATTTGATGATTTCAAGTCAGTGTGTTTGCAATTGAATTTTCAAGTTAACATATAATGATAGAATTTCTATGAAGAAATTGAGGTACATGTACATGTATCTTTAGTACTTTGTGGTGGATGTAATGTGTGATGTGACTTTTATTCTCATTTGCTCAGACATTCCAGATGACACCCGAAATAATGTTGCAGAAGTGCTGCACAGGATACAGGCTGCCACGAGCCTGGTCTTCAGTACGGCCTGGAGGAAGAGCTTCAAAGTAAGACACTCATACATCTCTCTGGTTTATCAAGTACTAGTGACAATGTCTTTACATTGTTACATCTTACATCAAACAGATAGGAATAGATAGAATCTTGTAGTGTGGCACTATGATGATCTCCAGAAGTATCTACTAGTATTTGATCAGTTAACATTGAAACAAAGTCATGTACATGTACACAATCTTTTATCAGTCTGAATGCATATTTTTCTGTTCTGTCTTTAAAATTTACCCATTACTGAATATTACTCAGAAACCCATGTGGACAGGATTTTTTCATGTGTACAACTGTTTCCTCTGACGCAGGAAGCCATTGAAATGCACCCCTTCTACGTCAACAACCCTTCTCATAGTTACATGAACTGTCAGGTGAGTAAAAACACTCTGGTACATATTCAGTGTAATGTCAGCACACCTGTGTTGTGGCACCAATGACAGTCACCTGTCGACACCTTGATCCTACATGGCCATGTAATTGGTGTGCTGTGTTGTTCTACATCCCTAACCGTCACACATCTCAGTCCCCAAAGAATGCTGCTCCTGACTTTGATGCATTTCCCACATAAGATACCTGCTGCCTCAGTAGATGAACTATCGTCCCCGTGAAAGTAATTATGTTGACACTGATGTTTTTGCAGGCATGTGGTCGTCCTGATCACCCCAGCTCACAAGCCATCAGCCTGAGGGGAACACCGTATGATAGGGAAACATTTGAAGACGATGACTTTGGCAACTACGAGAAGGTGAAATGTTTTGTCTCTAAGATGGAAGTGAGGATTTGTACATTGGAGACAATTTCACCACTAAACCTATTTCACAATATTTGTTACTACATGTACTATGGCAGGACCCAAGGTGTCTATGGAACTTGCTCAGTTGAAGATTAATGTCTAATATCTAGTTATGATTTAAGTTTCTTCTGTTGTTTGTACAATAATCTGATGTGTTTCTGCTGTGCAGTCGTTTGATGTAGGGTGCTTCTGCCAAGAGCGGTCGGAACTTTACCATGGCCTGTACCACTTCAGATACAGGGTGTTTCACACCTGTAAAGCTGAGGTAAGGGTTTTGTGCCTAAGAATGAAAACTTGTACATTTGGAATGTTCTTATAGTATTTTTAAAAAACACGCCATATTCCCAAACACTAAACATCTTTTGTTGGTACAGTTGTATCCTAACAGGCATATGAAAAAATGTTTAAGACGAGAAGCCCTAAAAATTCAGGTTCCTATCTTGTCCATGTTACCTGCAGGCAGAGAAAACCCTTGCCATGTTGCGGGATGAGGGGGAAGAAGACCCAGATGATGACAAGGTGATTGACAGGTGTTTAAAAGACCAGGACTGGACAGATGAGGTAATGTTGTCACTCCAACACTTTGAATTTGCTGTTTCAACTGTTGAGGTACAAGAAATGCTACAGATGAATGTTCCAGCAGTTCCTTATTGTTGTTTTGTACATGACAATTGTTCTCTTCTTTTCACTATTGATGGGAAATGTTGTTTTTTCCTTAGTTGTTTAATGAGATGGAAGGCCTGATTGAAGATGTTCACCAGCAGTACACAGCTGACTACAGCAAGCCATGGAAGGCAGTGTAGTGTGACTCTTGCTCCTTAGATCTTTTTCTTGCGTATAGTTCAACACTGGTATTGAGCAGTTGCTTGCAATTCTTTCCTCAGGAATTATAGCTTACTTCTGATTTTATTGTGTACAACTGGAATGTAATGTGGAATCAAACAGCTTATAGTCTTTCTAAGCTTAAACTAAATTTAACTGATTTGTATATTTTGATAAAAGTACACCAAGATTTTGTATAAATTAAAAAAACTTCTGTAAATCTGGATGTTTATTCAGATTTTAGGTATCCATTGTGGAACCAAGATGTAAAAGAACATGACATGAGATAGGAAATTAACTAAAGATGATACGACATGATGAATTTACAAGACGTTTGATTTCAATATGTACATTGTATTTTTGTAGGAGGCTGTATATTTTAGTCATCTGTCAAGCATTGTAAAAGTAACTCCAGTCTTGTACTTCATGAAGTGAAACAGCATTCAAATGAAATATAGAGTCATAGCCAATTACATTGTTTGTAATATAGCAGTGCCTTTGGAACTCAGAAAAGGCAGTACACCAGATATTTTATGTACAGTTTTACATGGATTTATAGATATGTCTGGATGTGGACATGCATTTCTGATTACAGCTAACCTTGCAGATGCCCATGTACTTGATAGTACTGTCTGCCAATAAAGAGCTTATTTTCATGTGGTGTGTGCATTTCCAGTATATCCAAGTTCTGAGTAGCTTTGCATTCCTATTTAGGATAGTAGTGCTCTGATACTATGTGCTACCTATAACAATGACATTTATCACAACAATTACATGGTTACAACTCTTTCCACTTTATTCAACTGATCCATCCAGGTAAATGGCTCACTCAGACAAGGTAGAAATAACCCATTTAAGTTCATAAGTCTCTACCTCAGAAGAATCAAACATTCACTATATTTCTACTTTCATTTGAAGAAGTCCTTATTGTGGCCATGTCTGACTAAATCTCAATATTGCAAACATATTTCAGTCTCAGACTCCCTTGAAGGTCAACAGAACACTACGCAGCCTTGTCACCTGAACTGCTGCTCTCTGGGTCCGAGCTTGGTCTTTTCCACACCTGGTGGATTTCTGTCTTCAGTTCCCCGGGTTTGGGCGGCACCTCGGGGATGGACAGGTCAGGGTTGTACAGTTTGTGCATGACCTGTGCACCAGCAAACATGGACAGCATGCTGGCTGTCAGAAACCGCAGGTATGGCCCCCACGGCACACCTGCTGGCATTGTTCTTGTCAACTCGGTGTCACATGTGAAATTGCTTCTGTGGAAGGATATTGTCTGCACATGTGATGTGCTAAGATATCCTTATACCAAGATCAGAAGTTTTAATAAATGCTGCTCCTTCAGTATAGAATGATATACAGTTTGGCAAAGTGCTTTCTTCTAGGATTGCAAAGTTGTTATTGTAAGTTCATCCTTGATGTTGATCATTGTTTCTTTCTGTGGCTGCAGCCTCGTATTGTCGCTCTGCCTGCTTTCTTCTGTACACGTCATCTGCAATGAAGAAGTCTTAGTTGTGTCACTTAATCCAAACAGCAATATGAATCATGATGCAATCACTTTTGTATCCAAGACAGAAATCTCAACCTTTGAGGTGGTGTATTCAGTACGACGGGATGTCAAGTTTGGAAATGACCATTGAGATGATTAGCAAGTACTGGAGCTACTTAAAAAGGAATTACTCAGACAATTAATGTAGATATGTCTAACAATTACATACACTTGAAGGAGTAGCCAGTCTTGTTTCTGTCACAAGAACCTTTGACCAGAACAATTCAAGGTCACTCACATGATCTCACTATTCATTTAAATTAAGTACCGCATATTTGAAAGGTTCACAAATCATTTACCTGTGTGTAATGTCATTATTTGACATCAACTCCCATAACTTGAGCCACACAACATGTTAATCAACCATATATAATGTGCTACTTACAGAAGGTTTCCCTGCCCAGCCGAACGTTGATCATGAACCACTCCATCCCCGCCCCCATCACGAAGAAGAACGGGAGGAAGCGGTACACTCCTAGCCGCCGCTTCCCCGGCCACAGGTCCAGAAGCCCCCTGATCCTTCGGTTGGGTTTACGGAGAACCATCCAGTTGTACAACTCGCCTTCAGAGAACAGAACGGGAGAAAAGTTGAAAAGTTACACAACGTGGGGGGAGGGGGGCACGGGAGTTAAACATCTTTTCTTGGCTGTCAATAAGAAAGAGATAGTGAAATTCACTTGACTGATTAAACTATAGTCTATACTCTACCTGTACATCAAATACGAGTGCACTGCGTCCCCAGCTGCTTACTTACAGATGAATACAGTAATACAAAATCTGCATTTCTCGTCGTCCTTGGTTGGTTGACCTTTGACTGCACCTCGGTTAACCGCACACAAGCGCAATCGACTCAAATTTTGACCCGGTGAACAGTAACAAACTGTCAAAAAGCTACACTATGAATCAATTATGTGTAACGTTACACGGTGTTTTATTTTGTTAGAAACTTTTGATGAATTTAACCTAATTTTTGTCTTTCAAAATGCTATTTTCCTATTTGGCAGTTGCGATGCTTTCTTTTAGTGATACGAGGTCATGGGTGACACAGCATTACCTGATACTCGGATAATATCACTAACTGGTCACTAAGTGTCAAGAATGCACCATAGCACTGCTGTTCTTCTCGGGGTCGTTCAAATGTCACTGAATCACACAGATTAATTGCCGTTATATATGTAAATGACCGTGTGCGAGTGTGAAAATTTGTGAAAATATCATAACAGTTAGAAGAATATTGGTATGACATCATCAAGTTCTCACAGTCGCCTCTTTTCATATTCTCTCAGGTTATTTTTATCATCCACCGTCTTCAAGGTTTTATCGTTGTTGTCCCGACACCGGTACCAAAGGTTGCATTTTTCTCGGACGATTGTAAATTCAATTTCCTATTTAACGTACATGTACTGTATGGTAATCAGCTAGAGTTGTGTTACTTCGCGGGTGATCTCTAGTTGGCATCGGGTTCTCCTGCTTTCTAAATTGTTAACATCAAGGACATTATAATGTCCTTGCTGACATCGAAATTCAGGACCGTGATGGCTGAGATAATACCGGCGCTTCCCAGGGATTTGAATAACTTACGTCAGTAGTAATACCTACATGTAGCTAAAGGCAACGGAAGAAGCCGGCTTCATTAAAGATAAAAGTCAGCTGAGGAAATGGGCTCTACCGGGTGTCTTTATCCACTTCTCCCAGCAGAGCTTCATCCCTACTTAAGCTGTACAGGGAAATATAATGAGTACTAGACTTAACGTCGGCGATTGCCAGCATATTTCTGTCATTGTTTCTTACATTAATGACACTACATTGGTGTATATGTTACCAAGTAGTCTCTTCCAAAATATTCACGTTTAAAGCGGCAACAGTTGGTAGTGAGAAGGGGCATATCCACGCTCTCTGCAGCTTACTGTCAGTCTCGGACAAACGGAGACCGTCTTTGGCAGTGTCTATACACAAAACACGTGGGCTTTCATTTCCTTATATTATATAACAGCCAGACACAACATTTCTTTTAGTTTGCAAAGTCTGAACTACACAGAGTAGTGACGGTTTACCCTTGTCAGACGTCAGAACATTTTCACACAGCACAGCAACAAAGGCCATTTGTTCACTGATACAACACGGTACCAAAATACCAAGGCTATATATAAACTACGATATGTTCATCGCATGTTAGACAGCACACAAGTAAATCCATTTGTTCTTCAGTGTTTGTGATTGACCGATCTACAACCAAATGAACTTCGCTGGTGACATTTTCATTCTTATAAGGCGCAAAAATGTTGACATCCCTACACAAAACGTAGGATAAAGTCGAACCTTTGGGGAAAAGGGACCAAGGGAGACAGACACATCATACATAAGAGACAGAGTAACAAAAGCGTTACATGTGGCGCTCAGTGCCTCTACCGGTGCTAAAGCGCCCTCCCTTGAGAGTATGTCCGGCAGTAAAAAGCCATTCTAAGCCGTTTATATGTCATTTGAAACCAGAAAGTCCCCTCACAACCACGGGGTGGATTTCTAGAAGCATCTAGCTCGGTTTGTTCTCCATCATGGATTACACCCACGCCGCAATTCTAGCACCTACCTGATCTTAAGTTGCCGCTTCGCAAAGTGTGGAAAAGTAGTGTTCAATTATTTTCCTGAAAACTGAAGAACCCATTTTGTGTGCTAACGTCTGACAAATGAAGATGATGACCTGACTCCCAACGAGAGAACACTAAATTTTGAAAAATAAGAGAACAGAAAAACTTGAGAAAACAAACACCGGTAATGCATTCTGGGGGACATTGCTTAAAATGCTATGAATACGTCCATACATGTCAGAATGGGAGCAATATTGGAAAGACAGTCGGTCCTGCATTTTGCGTAAGCAACGCAATAGCAAAGCACTAAACTCAGCGTTAGATGTCAGGCGTCCATTGACCACCCACACCTTTTAAGGAAATGGTAGAAAGTGTGTGCGTCAATGAGGAACAGTCTAGACATTGTTGAGGGAGGAGAGATCCTGACGCTGGCTGACAAGTTATCTGGCAACTCTATAGAGAACTTAGAAAACGTCACGATCTTCCCTCTCAGAATCTGTTAAGGAAACGTCTGTATGGATCAAACAATTTCGGCATCCGGAGTACGCTCCAAGTTCTAGTTAGTGCTTAACACTTGAACATTGCGGAACCGGATAATTAGAGCCTAACGGCTCATTTTTAGGCGGTGGTCTCGGCTGATCTGTTCCGCTGTAAACTCTTCATGGCAGGAAATGAGCTTGGGAGAGTTCGCTCTGCCAATTAGATATAGAAGGATTACATAAACGGATACTTGAGATAGATGATATACATGTGCGTCATGGAAAGAACGACGATGCATGCTGCTGTAGTGTATAGTAGTTGGAATGTTAAGGTCGCTAGTTTGCCTTGAAAAAGTGCATATTCATGAAGGGGACTTTTATGGACAATGTCACTTCTTTTTTTTTTCAATCCGGCAGCTCCCAAACTAAGTATACTACTATTCGTCTAATAAGAAATATTTTGTAATGTGTTCCATGCATCGTATATCATGATCAGTACGGCATCGCTGCAGATGAACCAAATATTACATTGTAATGGATGAATGAACTTGCCTTCTCATGTCAAAAGCTGTACGATCTTGTATCAATTTTGAACCTAGCTATCTGTTGCGATCATGTCAAATATGACGTGTGGTCTTATAGCTGCTATCAGATGTTGAGTTGGATGGATAAATTGAATATCTCACTGAATATAGTCATTAGACTCATACTAGTGTAGGAAAGGAGAGATGAGAGTAGAGTACATAGTAGTCAGCCAAAGCTAGCTTCATACAGAGAGCCACCATTGTTTGATTCTTATAGACATTTGCTCTTAAGAACTGTTATGCAGATGATACTCTTATCTATACCTCCCGAAAGCTGTATGCACACAGAGGGTCGGGTGTAAGTCATCGGCTTCCTGTGTAACTCAAAGTGACTATAATGATGAGTTCTGCAAACAGTGAGTGGTGGCAAATTACACAAGTTGTGCAAACAACTGTAGCTCACTGAACTCCGGGGAAAATATATAATGGACAAGTAATAACGTAGCCGTGATAGTGCAAATATCCAACCGGTACAGGGACTAACTGCATCTGTGACTGTGGGTTTAAACTTTACCCAGGACATCGTTGCGACTTTGCACAGTGTCTGTGTATCTACTCTGTACGTTCCCAGTAGTCTGGTTGGCGGACGTAGGCTTCTGTGATGAATGTGGGAGAAAGCTTCACTTAGATGAATACCTGTGGATTTTCTCGTCTTGTAACAAGTCCCACGCCATTTGTTCCAAAGTATATAATCCAGACCATCCTTCTCATGTTTGTACATATGTATACCGGATAAGTCCAATCAGCCATTTCTGTCTTGCGCGCGTTTGGTGAGATCAGGTGCAGTTGACATTACAAGGCGTGTTTTCAAAATGGGATATATACAGAAAAACGATCTGGATGGAAATGTTGAAACAGTAACACCATCCTCTTCATTGCAAAATGCCTGTAGCATTTTCCCTTAGTCTATCAGCCGCGGATTTTGCGTTATAGTAGTGTATGACTTTCGCTCTCTGAGCACTAACACTGCCTGAATTGGTTTTGGGGGTATATTGTAAACCCCGCAGTGCTCAGATAAGTCAAGAGACAATGGAGACCGTGTCAATTCCTACAGCTGAGTGAGGAGGCTGCACATGTACATTGACGTTAAACCTACCCGATAGTCGAAAAATGGTCGCTTAGATGTTGCAAGCGTAAACTGCAAGGTAAAAAGGATAATTCGGCTGAGAAATGTTATGTTTATTTAATACGCAGTGCCTGAAAAGGGGGTTCGGTAGGCGGGTTTGGACTATACTGTCAATGTAACAAGAAAGTACGAAGATGCTTTGAAAATTTAAAACTGGGTATTTTAGTCTAAAGACCATGTTGAATGTGCAACAAACTACCTTAGCCTGGAATCCACCCTGTTCTATCTCCAGTGCCATTCTCATGATAGCTTCTCAGCAGGATGTTTTGGCAGAAGAGGAGTTAAAATAATAGGACAAATATCACGCAAACATTTGGCAGTATACAGCAGGGTGGCATTCAGAATGAACGTCTAAGCCTGCCATTGAACCTGCCCTTTTCACGTTGATCGCCCGAGAAGGCGCGAGCCTCCGGTTTGCATGCTAAACGGTTGCCGCTCGAAGATAAGAGGAGCAGTACATTAGGCCACCCGGTCAGAATCTGATTGGCTGCCGCGGGCTCTGGTTGCCTGTTCTTTCAACTTCAAGCGACAATGACGCCGTAGAACAGAAAATGTGATCAGATAGTTTGCCCGGCTTCCGAGAAGGAACGTCGATAAAATTCCAGGAAAAGATAAGATCCGCTAGAAACAACATATGCATGCCTTTGTGTAGGTGTAGTTGTTATTTGGGATCAATGAACAGTTTTCCACGATAACAGCACAGTTTAATGTCACTGTCTTTAGTGTAAGACTCCAACGCACACTCGTTCAGCTGTCTGTTTGTTCCAGCTTCATCGTCTAAAGCTGCTAACCTTTTGGTTGATTGGAGCGTATCTTCAGTAAAGACGTTTAAGTTTTCTACAGTGAGAAAGCGGGACGACCCGAGCTCGTTTTGCGCTGGAAGTTGTCAAAGGAAAGCCCAACCTTCCCTGCAAGCGCGTCTACATCAGATACATGCTGCACCGCACGGGAAATGGCGCGGGAAGCAAGCTAACTTACACCGGCTAAAAATAAGGTTGTTACCATTAAATCGATAACTGGGGTCTGTTATACGACCCTTACAATTACTGACGGAGTGTGATTACAGCATTCAGGTAGTACTCTGTGTCTGCTTTCTGTTGGAGTGCAGCCAATGTTAGTTTTATTCTGAGTTCAATTTCCGCGTACAAATCATGATAACTTTGTTACAGTGCTCTTGTGGCCATGCTTCCGTTGGAAATATGTTTTACTACGGAAACATTTTCATTCCAGAGCTTGAGAACTCGTCTCCAGCGTACAGCTGGACTTGGGCTTTGGCGTAATTAATTTTAAGAGGGCAATAAAATCAGTCTGACCGGAAGAAGTCCAGAACGCAGGATATTACAAGTTGGATGCTGTCCTGGCTCGAAACATCTGGTGATAGTTATCGAGTTTTTATTGGTTTATTCATTTGTATTAACAACAGCATAACTCGCAGCCGTGACATACAGGGCTGAATTCTTATACTTGTTTACAACATAAATCATTAACCATTAATAGTAGGGTCATTAATACACATTATCTACAGATTAATGTCCAGTATGTCCAGGCTGACCTTGTTACAAGACTTTCGTTCGCTTCGTTTGTTGTTTCCGTCACGATTCTTAATCGTTCGGACACGTCTTATGGCAAAGTTGACAACTGCCGTGTACGTACGTACAGGCATATGCCGAGTCAACCTCTGTCTGTCGTTAATTGAAATACACTTGGCTTTAGCCATCCTCTTGTGGGCTTTAGAGCACTGATTGCTGGCATGGCCATGGGTAGACTATTAAATCTTGCATCGCTCAAAGTGCTTGTTTGTTCGTTCCTGAATCCCCCAATGTTCCGGCTGATGAACATTATATCCCAACGCTATTATATCCCACCGGTACAACGGTAATGTTGTTTTTTTTCGAATCGTAGGGATCACAAACAAGCGCTCATTGATAGTGCGGTGACTGAATATTATTTTCCTTGTACCCTGGTTCTGACATCGTCTACCTGTGATAGCCTCGTTGAAGAAAACGCCGTGTAGTTGTAATATCACATGCGTTCCCTGTTGTAAGTGTTGTTGTGTTGGCGTGTGTTCGTCTCTAAAGTGCGTACAGGTGTTGGACGGAAAATCTCATCTCAGTGAGGATCACGCGCCAAAACCGCCGACAAGGTGAGCGATAGACGTGCTGTGGGCCTGCGTCCCTCGCCGTGGTTACCAAACGTGTTTTCGTACATTTCTATCCGCAAACAAACTGCCTAAAGCTCAGCTATGTGCTTTTCTCATCCCGCCATGGCGAAACATACACGTCTGATTCTTCTACATTTACCTCAATCCTTCTGGACTCAAGTGCGAACTGAAATCCGCTAACCCAAATGTCAACAGTATCATTTCTCTGGACAAATCCCCATCTGCTTCAGAGACCTTGGGCAACAAGCCTTACATTTCCTGACACGATGTAGTTTAATGCACCCAAAGATGAATTAATACTGAATGTGAGTCCCCCCGCTTAGGCATAACGCCTGATATTTCACACCAAGTTAAGCAATTGACCAAATGCTTTTAAAAGGTTTCAAAAAACCATTTCATTGCACATCTCGCCTCGCTCTTATCCTTGCGGACTTCCATTATGTTGCCGCAGGTGATATGCTTAAATTCTTTACATTCGTCTGAATTTTCAAAGCACAGGAACAAGAAGTAACCCTATTTCCTGAGCACATTCATCTCTGTAGAAAAGGAAGAGTTCGGATCACCTTTAACATTCCAGACGCCGAATGAGAAGGAAGGGCGAGCATTACAAAATATCCCGGATCGCAAGACGATTTGATGTATTGATATACGTTTTTGTAAAGTAAACCTTTCTCCTCTGAAGTACCGTTCACCGCTAATCGAATAATTCCGCTCGTGACGTGCGTAAGATGTGGGAGACGTGCGCGGGTTCCGTAAAGAGCGCGGCGGTAACGCGCGTCTGGGGAGCGCAAGTCAACTGCACGGGGATGACGGCCGACGGTTTCGTCTGGTGCGCAGCTGAATCTGAACATAATATATGTCGACGTCACGCGGAAACCGGGGTAGAAAGCCGGAACTTTCCTTTAGGAGCTGCCAGACACACTGTAAAACGACAGCAGAGCTGTACTGTTGCAACAGATTGCTGAAGTCGTTTAACGGCGTGAGAGAACAGGTAGGTGCGAATATCAGCGCAGCGCGGGGAGGCACAGCGATGGCAGAGGCTGGGCCGCAGACCACGCTCCCGGCCGTGACGGCGGCAACTCCCGAGTACGGGAATTTCAGCACCACGAACAGCACCAGCTCTGACTGGAACGTGCCGGACAAGTCACTGCAAATTCTGCTGCCCGTGGTGTACTCCATGATATGTTGTATCGGACTAACAGGAAACACGATCGTCATTCACGTCGTCACCCGCATGTCCAGCGCGCGAACGGTGGCCAACAGCTACATCTTAAACCTGGCCATCGCGGACGAACTGCTCCTGCTGTCCACGCCATTCATCTGCGTTGGGTACGTGACCTGGGACTGGCCCTTTGGCCCCGTCATGTGCAAGTTGGTGTATTTCGCAGACTCCATCAACCAGTTCGCCAGTGTCTTCTGCCTGACTGCCATGAGCATCGACAGGTACCAGGCGGTGGTCCACCCCATGACTTCCCGCGGGTACCGTACGATCCGCCGCGCTGTCGTCATCAACGTCACCATCTGGATCGTGGCTCTCGTGGTGGTGTCGCCCGTCCTCGCGTTTGTGGGCCTGCACGAGTCGGAGGGACATGTCTACTGTAATGTCTACTGGCCCAAGCCCGTGGAGGCTTGGAGGGTGGCCTTCATCGCCTACAGCGGCCTCCTCGGCTTCGCGATGCCGCTGACCATCATCACCGCGTGTGCCGTCTTCATCGTCCGCTCCTTCCACCGCCACCGCCGCAGCAAGAGGAGAGGCCAGGCGCGGGACTCCCGGCAGATCTTCCGCGAGCGCGAGCGGACCATTACCCGGGTCGTCTACGCCGTCGTCATCACCTTCTTCGTCTGCTGGTTGCCCTTCTACCTCTTCAACATCGTCAACGAGGTGTCTCCCATCCCCGTCTCGCATAAGAACAAGTGGGTCTTCCACTTCTTCGTGTCGATGCCTTACTGGAACAGCTGCCTGAACCCGCTCATCTACATCGCGCTGAACAGCCACTGCAGGAAGAACGTGTGGGACCTGTGCTGCTCCTGGACAGGGCTGGACACCACCCGCAGCACCGGCCTGGTCCAGGTCACGTCCATCCGCCTCAGCTCGCTGTCACGCGCACAGAGTGACCGGCGATGACTGCATGCGCCACTACTGCAACAACAGCTGAGGTGGACTTTCCCTGCAAATCTATAGGCCACGAGGCGGTCAAGCTCCTTGAATTTTATAGGGAATGTCTGTAATGCAGCCCAAGGTGTTAAAACCGTTTGAAGGAAGTACTGCAGAATGTCCCTTTGTAAGTATTTTCACCTTAGGTTGACCGGGGCGAACTAAAACATAAACTTTTCCCATTACGTACATGTAATGTACTCCAGATCGAAGTTCCGTAACTGTTCATATGAATCCCAGTACAGAGGACGTTATCCATTTGTCACGATGTATGGCAGATCTATTCCACAATGTCAGACGCTGTAGATCAGCTTCATTGTGCAGTCATAAAAGTTGCTATTTTGGGGCGTCTTGTGGGATATATGTGTTGTATCGTTATTCTTCTGACAAGGAAATAGGCTTAATGGATCACTTTACTGTACCATAGGAGCCAAATTGTTCCGCATCGGGCTTTACATGCTACAGAGGGAATTGTTGTATGAGATTGTATTCTTTAATGATCTTTTTCAAAAGACGATATATTTTAAACTGTAGTGGATAACGTACTAGGGGTATGTACTTAGATATCCAAGAGAGTTAAATTTAGACATCTAAATATACATATGTACCCAAGATAAAGCTATATATACTGTAACATGTTCACCTGTTTGTCTAGTGACGGCGTGCTGCTAGAATGTTACTCAAAAATGTTTCAGCTTTAAGATAAGGAGAAGTTTAAACAACCGCTGAAGGAGTACCACCAAAGTAACGAAACCATATATTTGTCTTGAGAATAATATATTTGAAAGCTATTCGTCTTCTTGTTGTCTTGCTGTTTTAAGGGTGTTGTAGTTGTTCTGCAAGTGGCATATATGTGTAGACAAATCCGGGGTACTGAGATGCACATGACTGGCATACGGACGAACCAATATCATGTCATGATATGTAACAATTATAAGGCATCTTCGGTATCATATATCCTTGACATTATGCTCTGAGTACCAGAACGCATGGACATTAGGGAAATATGTTTTATATACGAGTAACAGGTGTCATCCCGGAAAAAGTGAGGGAAGGTATAAGGAAACACAATCTAGATAACGGAATTTCGGGAACTGTCTATTTCTAAAAGGATGTAAAAGACTGACGCATTTCCTGAGTCAATATATCCGATCTGTCTTGATTACTTCTAATATTAGAACTTATGTCCAGTGGTGTGTGCCAAATTCTAGAGTTGTCCGGAAATAGACTCCTTTAGCACTTTGTGCATGTTCGACGCAATTTCCGAGCTTGAAAATTAAAAAGTACTGCTCGTTGTTAAAACTCAATCAAACCTTTCTGCCATTCTGCTTGACATGACGTAAAACCAGGCGACAGTGACCCCTCCTCAGCGACTCAAACGTCCTGCACATGAAGAAAGATGAATGACGCGCCACATGATCGCATTTCCGTGGAAGACATGAGTGGGAAGATTAAGGTACACGCCAAGACGATTAACCTGAGCACTAGTAAGCTGGGCAGAAAGCCTATAATTGTGACTTCGACTGGAGTCAAGTAAAAGTCTACTCGTGTAGAACTCCCAGCGGCCTCATTCCATGACTGTTGCTAATGCATTCCTGCTACGCCGCAGCGTTGAGATGGCATTAGACGGTGGTTAGACGGTCAGTGTCGCAGCAAGGCGGATTAGAACGCATTGAAATCGCGGGTTTCCTGCAAAACGAAGACTAATCCATTACATCCTTCCTGAAATGTTTGTTCAGACTTACTCAACTGCTAGTCTGTGATTGGCGCGTTCTCTGCACAACATCCTGTATTAGTAGAAAATCCAATTCGCTGCAAAGCTACTTACTATCTATGAATGAGTTGACGTAAACCGCACATATTACGAACGTTTCGCTTTTCTATACTTTTTAGTGTGTCTGTGTGCATACCCTGTGTGTACACTCGGTCTTATATACATAGTAATTTACAAGGCTTTCTGCTGCAATTTCCTCGTGGATTAAAATGAACCAAACTAACAGGAGAACATAAAGAGTTTGAGGCTTAACGCTTTAATAGAAAGGGTCAGTGCCCCTGAAGCAATCGGTACCAGAGGGCAGTGGCCGGACACTACACCTGACATTTAAAGGTCTTTTACTCGTGAAAGGTATATAGCAGAAAGGGAATGTACGCCTTGTTGATAAATGCCTTAGGTGATAAGCTTTACTTATGTAAGGTAACCAGTCATTTCCCAGCCTATGTACGTTGGTCAGTTCTGCCCTTATGATAACAGAGGACAATTGCCCTCACCACTGAGCGCTTTCTCCCCTTGTATCTCCGAGTTCGGTGGTTGTAAAGACTATCACAAAGCCTGGAATCCCGCTCCGTTTATGTGAACACCACGTGAAGAATCGGCGGCTTCGGCGTCTGACTGCAGCCCGCAGGTGGCGTTAGTTCATCCCATCACGCCGCGTAATGGAGTCGCGCGATAAGGCCGCGCGGCGGGCTCCACAGGTGGGCGGGGCCGCGGGGAGGACATGCACGGTTTGCTGATTCCACGCTGTGGAAGTGTTGCAGCAAGGTCAAGGTGCGAACGTTTACCCGTGTCCTACAAGAAACATCAAGCGAAGGCAGGGCTCTTAGAAGTTGCGGCGCTGATATAAGATCGATCTAACTTAGTGCGTCGTCATCTTTTGTATTTGCTTATTTATCTTTTAACAAAAAAAAGTAGCGAAATTGTCATGGGGCCCGAGCGAACTTAAGCATACATGTAGTTATTTTACAGACTCTTTGGATTGCTGAGAAAATAGTAAAATTTCACCAAGTAGGCTGGATACGTACAGGGGGAATTGTAAATGTGTAGCTCCTTTGCCGGTTCTGGCAAATTATCGAGCCAATTTTTATCATTTTTCGAGTAATCCAAAGAATCTGGTACAGAATACTGTAGCAGGAAACAGAGAAACCCACGAAAAAACATACGAATCCCTTATAACACCCCATTGTCCCCCGGTAGTGGTGAGCGTTCATGAAGTCCCATTAGTGGTAAGTGCTAAGCAGGAAAAACAGGAAACACATAGCGGTACCGCACTAAGTGAGTATCTGTATCTGTATCTGTGTGGATCCGAATAATACAGAATAACCTCAAACTCAGGCGAAACGTGGTAACACTGGACTGGATATAAAAACACAAAGGAAAGAATTCACATGAACGTGACATCCCATGCTACATAAATCTATGCATGCCGATGCAAATTCATTCAAGCGGCAGGCTAGCTGATGGGTTCTTAAGACTGGACAAGTCGCTCCACTGCATGACGTTATGGGCCATGTCGGCCTTTTTGTCTCCTTAAGTCAAGTTGGATTTCACATTCGATTAACTTCGTTCTGCGTCTGAACGACGGGATTCCAGGTTCAGGAAGCCTTGCTTTCTGAGTGCGCCATTAAATTTGTCCAGCGCTAAAGTTGACGGCAACATGAGGAAGTTATGGCGCCTGGCGCTCCGTCCTCCTACTGGGCAAGTCTTCAGTCGCGCCAGTGAACTGTACATCCATGACGTGATGGCGAGGAGGCTTTTAGTGAGTTATGAAAGAAAAGCCATGTCTTGGACTGAAGCCGAGAACATTTCTCCAAACGAAGCTGACGTCAAAGTGAGCAATTTTACATTCCCTCACAGGGAACGCATTAGTACATATAACGTTATACAGAACGAAATGCATCCTGGCAGGATGCCGCGTAATTGGCAGAGTTGACCCGCTAACCTCTGGGAAAGTACTGAGCTGCTATACATCTTCCTACTGCAAAGTTATGTCCGCGTCTACATTGATCCGCCTGTGTGGCGGCACGTAGACGGAACGCATCGGCTCTGAAGAAAAGTAATGGCGTTTTGTTATACTCTTGCGTCAAGAGGCTGGGTACATCTAAACGTGACAAATGACAGAATAAGGGAAACAGCACCGACGTCCTCCGGCAAACCGTGCCTCTTTTATCACAGTGTGATATGAGCGATTGATTGCCTTTACTGAAACACACCCGTCTGTCACCCATGAGGACGCCTCCTCAGTTAAACACAGACCACCTGCAGGGGTTTTTGTTATATAGTCTCTAGATGGCGGGTTTGGAGAAGTGGGTAGGTGTTATTGTCAGCCTGTAGTCTCCTTCAACTTGTGGCTAACATTTACTCAGCCGTTACACAAATTGGGCTTAAGGTGGATGGTGGTCATGCCACGTCTACCTGTTGCTGAGGAAAATCAGACAAGAGAGCATGAATGATTCATTGTCTCCTTGTCACTTCTAATTTCCCGTGTACTTCAACGGGGACGCACACATTTAATAATGTGTTATCTATATGAAACTGCCTATATGACTTGCCAAGAGGCTATTACGGCTGTCATATTGGCTGACGTGACAGGATCACATATTCTGCAGATATGGAGGTGTCTCACAGATCAGTTCTGATACAGGATCGCACATTCTGGAAGTGACTTACAGAGATTACAGAGGAGGAAATCCGGTTTCACGTCGGTTCTGGTAATGTCCCGGGTATGAGGGGATTCACAGCAGCATATGAATAGATAATCCCTCGATCTACAACTGCGCTCAA